TATAAATTAATCTTATTGGTGACTGATCATGAGACAAAGGAGAAGGGAGCTAGGCCACAGATTTGGCAAATCTCTTGTGGAGTTGGGTGTGTCACACTCATTAGCCTATGTGATCACAACACAGCAATAACTGACCTGTGCCACTGTCCTCATTTTATAGATAAGAAAACCAAGCTCAAGGAGATTTAGTAATTTGTCCAAGATCACGTTCAGGGTAGAATTAGGGTCTAAATTAAGGTCTGACTCCAATCTATAACAAGTTAGCCGATGTAAAGATTTGAAAGTCCAAACTCTGCACAGATCTGAAAACTTATAAACTCATCCAGGATCTTTGGCCCTCTCTAAAGCATATTTGAGGGGTGTTTCCACTCCTGCTGGCTCCCTATTTCTGTCACTCCCTGCCCTCCCCACTACTTCAGGACTGGACAGCTCCCGCACTCCCAAAGGCTTCCTTTCCTTAGGGCTTGACTTCAGAAGAATTGGCTTTTTGTCAGAGTGACAGCAGGAGTATGGAGGTGTGTGTGTATGTGTGTGTGTGTGTGTGTGTGTGGCGTGTGTGTGTGTGTGTAGTGTGTGTATGGTTGAGCGTGTGTATGTGTCTGCTATATGTGTGCCTTTGAGCATTCATGAATAGGTATGTGTGTGTGTGTGTGTGTGTGTGTGTGTGTGTAGGAGTGTGTAATGTGTGTGCCTTTGTGGCCAGTGGCCCATCTTTCCCTGGTCACTGTACACAGAGCAGCTTTGAGTTTATCTCTCTGCCTCTATTTCTCCTCTAAAATGACAGGGTCAAGCCAGGTAAAGCTTGTGTACATATGAGTTCACGTGTCTCCTGGTGTATCTTTATTTGTGACTCTATGTCACAAATACATAGACTGAGTATGGGAATATATATATCTATATATCTATATATATATATATCTCCATGCATTGAATGTGTGTGTGAAAGGGTGTCTGCAGATTCTCTCCCTGTGGGCTTAGGTCTGTGCCTTGAACCATGTCACTCAGGGCACAGGACTTTGGTGGGAGGGAGGCCCTGCTGATGAGGAGTGGTACTGGATTGAGTGGTTCTGCATCCATCCATTCCTGGGCTGTTCCAGGAGCTTGCTATCTTTTCATGCCTGAGTTTCCCTCTGCAGAGACCCAGCAGGGAATATCACCACAGAACACTCATGCAGTTAAGATAAAAACTTTCATTTTAAATGAAAGGACCCCTCCTATTGGGAACTGGGTTCATAGAGCAAGATCTGTCATTAGTGACTTCAAGGATCTGGTTAAAAATCAGTTTTTGTTTGTTTTGTATCAAGGATTGACCCCAGGTGTGCTTAACCACTGAGTCACATTTCAGCCAAATATATATATATATATATTCTTTTTATTTTTATTTTTTATTTTGAGATAGGGTCTTGCCAAGGTGGTTAGAGATGGTTACTGAGGCTGGCTTTGAACTTGTGCTGCCTCAGCCTCCCGAGGTGTTGGGATTACAGGTGTGCTCCACCATAACTGGCGATAAATTTCAGTTTTTAATGTGGGATTCCATGATATAAATAAAGTGTGAAGTGGTTGAGCTTACTGGGGATTTGGCAATCCTCTTGCCTTTGGAAGTTTTGGTTGTAACTTCATTTCTGATAGGAAACCCATTTGACCTCTGTCCTGTTCAGGCTCTTTGGATTGTAAAGTGATGAGAACAATGATGTGTGGTAGACCCCCCCCCCCCCAAAATGTTTATATTGTTACTCTTGAAAAATTTCTAGAGATGCGCCTTTCTTTGTAATCATGTGGGGGCCACGCGACTGAACTGTGCGGCCTGCGTTCATAGGTCTTTACCCCCTCACGGGTAGGCAGGGGGCTGAGCTTGCCAGGGGCCACTAACCAGCTGGCACTGGGAGCTGGTGGAGGGACGCAGGGATGGGGTTCCTGCTTCCAGCCCTCCCCTGGGCACTGGAGGACGTGCCACATGATACTGTGTGTTCTGCACAGATAACCTAAATGTGTGCCTTGGACATTTCCACCTCCCACAAGTTAGGGAGCACAAGAGGCCAGTGGCTCATGTCCTTGTCACTATACATGGAGGGGTTCCGAGATGCCTCTCTGCCTCCTCCATTTCCCCTCTGTAAAGTGTCAGGGTCAAACCAGGTGAGGTGACGGTTCAGGACCCTTGGGTGCAGGGAGGGGGCTTAGTCCACCTCAGGGGAAACACCAGCTCTGTCTGTTCACCTTGGTCCCCTGGCTGTGGGACCTTGGGCACACTGCTCACCTCCAGGCTGCTCCTTATCCGTGAGATAGGGAGGCGATGCCTTCTCACTGAGTTGTGTGGATCAGTGGGTTAACAGACATCCAAGCCCTGGCGTAGCTCACAGCAGGCTCTTGGTGCCCAGCTTCCCTGTTACTTTTTAAATATATATATATATTTTTTAGTTTTCAATGAACCTTTATTTTTATTTATTTTTATGTGGTGGAGAATGGAACCCAGTGCCTCACACATGCTAGGCGAGCGCTCTACCACTGAGCACTCTACCACAGCCCCAGCCCCAGCTTCCCCGTTGTTACTGTGGAAGCTCTTTCTAAATTATCTTAAAACAAACAAACAATCCTCTCTCAAACAATCAACCGTGGAATACAGTGGGGGGAAAGGTTTTTATTTTTTAACTCAAAGTCACCCTCAGTGTATGTCCTACCTTGGTGCCAACCCCCAGGGCCCACTTTGGTCCCGAGGCCCACTTTGGTGGCATGGGGACCCCTACTTTGGGCAGCCCACCGTGACCTGGCAGAAACATGGCTCCAAGCTGAAAGGACTGTCCGTCTGCTTTAGTGTTGGGGTCTGGGAGTCAACGCTGGCCCCAGGTCTTCTCTCTGGCACCCTCAGTGGGCACAAACCTTGCTGGAGATGAATCTGTGGGCATACCCCTCGTCTCCTGCTCTGGGTGGCTTCCTCCAAGGCCCCTACATGGCAACCCCAGGCAGGACTCGTGGCCTTAGTGGCCCAGGAGCCAGGGAGGATCTGGGGCCTGCTGCCCAGGGCCACCAGAGTTCCCTGGGTCTCAGGGTTAGTGGAGCACCCCGTGAAGACGCCTGCGTGGAGCTTTCACGGCTTCCTTCCTGGACGCTTCACAATAGGCCCCTGAGCACAGTGGGCAGCACCACCTCCTTCTCACAGTGGAGCTGGAGCCCAGGAGCTCAATAATGTGTCCCAGGTGAAGGCGTAGAGGAGGATTCGCCCCTCGGGAGGCCTGGCTCCACAGTCCATGGTCTTCACCAGGGTCCTTCCTGTCCCCTCTTATCACATGGACATTCTTGTAGCCACTGTGTGCTTGGCACTTCGTGGGGCACATCGGACCTTCTGGACAAATACTTATGAATCCAACAGTTTCTTTCCCAAGGAGGAAACCCTTTGAAATGAAAAACTGGGACAGCTGGCAGTGTCCACGCCAGTGTCCACGCCTGCATGCGACTCCCCGGAGTGGCTCCTGGTTCTTGGCCTGAGCCGGGGGGAAGGCACGTCACTGGCTTGTGGGTCTGACTTTTATGCAAATGCTCCTTGTGCTGACGTCATCAGGAGCAGGTGGGACTGGACTTAACTGGCTCCAAGGCCAGCGCTTGCGCATGTAGGGCTACAGATAGCATTTAGTGTCCCAATAGCCCATCTTAAATACAAGTGTCTTAACGTGAGAAAGCCTCCTCTCTATGTAGGTTTTCATGTGTTAAAGTTTTTCTCCCAGTGCTTTGAGAATTCCCTAATTCACTAACATTTTAAGAGTTAATTTCAACCATGAACACGATATGAATGGACAAACACGTGTGATTCCTGTGAGGTTTGGTTTTAGGAACTTGGGGACATTGTGGAGTGTCTCTGAGGTATTGAGCAACGGTGTCACCTTGGTCCACTTTGGTCCCAAGGATTCCACCAGTTGTTACTCAGAGATCAACATTCACGGGGATACCCTTGCATGCCAGGCGCCTGCTTCCGGTGAGGAGGACACAGGGCTCCTGCCTCTTCAGGATCCCCCTTTTAGTGAGCAGACTGCGTGCAGACAGACATTAGCAGAGTGCTGTCTATAGCGGGAGGGAAGCCCCAGATTGGGGACCTCAGAGGCACTAGGTCACAAGGATGCTATAGGTACCTTCCCCTTTGGAGGGGTTTACAGGGGAAATGGTTAGAGACACTAGCATTATTTGTTTACCCAACCATGGAAGCTTGACCATTTTGTAGATTTTGAAATAGTTGATGACTCAAAATACTATCAGCTCTCTGAGCAAAGAGATGGGATGTCCAAGCAACAGACCTTGGATAGGAAGCCAGGCAGGAACGGCGGGAGGCAGAGGCTAGGGTTCAGTTGCAGACAACAGATTCCACTTTCACGGTTTAAGTGGAAAGTGATTCATTACCAGGTATTAGGTGGCTTTCCACTCAGCAGAGACAGCTCTAGGCCAAGGTTCCAGGAACAGCCCCCAGGCCCCCAGGATGTCAGTGCCTTTGCCATGATCGATCAGGAATTTTCAACCATTAGCAACTCACCACCTCTGCCATGGTCCACACCAGTGCAAGGGGAGCCTGCCCCGCAGCTGTCCCCTGAGTTAGAACTCAGAATCAGAGCTGCAGGGAGATCCGGAAAATCAGTGTGTAACTCCCCTGTCGCGGCGCAGGAAGGCATTCAGGAGGCATACTGTTGGAGCCAATCTACGGTACCTGTTGCAATTCATGCGAACACTGAGGTTGCCTCTCCAGGAGCACCTCGGGCCTGGCCTTCTTCACTGCCCTGTGTGGCCCCCACCCCCATATGACTTGCTTCTCCGGCCAGAGGGCCTCTCCTGCAGTCCACGGCAAGCTGGGACTCACTGGGGCCCAGGTTCTCAGCACAGCTTCACCCCACGGAGAACAGGTGGCAGCCTTGAGGGTCTGGGTCTTGTCGCTCCTGCACAGACAGGTGGGAAGGCGTCTCCTGGGCCTGGGCTGGTCCCAGGTCTAGGTGAAGGCTCACGCTGCCTCTCCCTTCTCCCCACAGAGATCCCCCAGTGCGCCGGCTGCAACCAGCATATCCTGGACAAGTTCATCCTGAAGGTCCTGGACAGACACTGGCACAGCTCCTGCCTCAAGTGTGCGGACTGCCAGATGCAGCTGGCCGACCGGTGCTTCTCCAGAGCGGGCAGCGTCTACTGCAAGGAGGACTTCTTCAAGTACGTGGGGACCCTGGCAGCCCCTGCCCTCGTCCTGGCCCTGCCCCTCCCATGCAGCGAGGGGGATGTCTGCAGTGGTGGTGGGGGGCAGAGGACCCCCTGGCTGGGGTGGGTGAATCCTGCTGGTGGGAGGATACCCCTCATTGGGGTCCCCCTTCTGATCACCAGCCAGGCCTCGCCCGAGCTGGCAGGAGCAGGGGCCAGCTTCGAGATGGAGGAGGGCTAGCAGAGGATTTCTGCAAATCCGTAAAGAGTCGCTCTTTCTGTCCTGGTGACTGGGGCCCCAGGACACTTGGCTGCGTCATTGCAGACTTTCAGAGGGAGCTTTAGTTCTGCCCATTCCTGGAAGAGCCTCCGTGGTGTTCCCCACGCTGTTCAAGGACCCCAGAGGCTTGGAATAATCTCCCTGGTGGGAGTCAAGCCGGGCCCCACAGCGTTGCCAGTGTAGATGGAAACACGATGAAGAGGCGCTCTCCTGTGACAGTGAAGAGCCTGAGCCCAGTTATTGGCTGTGCATTCTTGGGCAATTACTTACCTTCTCTGGTTCCTCCTTTTATTCTATCTGTAAAACAGGGCTGCTGATAATAGTTCCTACCTCATAAGGTTGTTATTAGCTTCAAACAGGTCAACATGTGTGAAGTTCTGTCACCTGAGGGGTGGCTTTTTGTTGTTGTTCTTGGTTTTACATGACAATAGGACATATTTTGACCTCTCATGCTCATGGAGTGTAGCTTCCCACTCCTGCGGTGGGTGGTGCGTGATGTGGAGTGACACTGGTCGTGTTTTCATATATGACATAGGAGAGTGATGTCCGACTCATTCTGCTGTCTTTCCTACTCCCATTCCCCCTTCCTCCCTCCATTCCCTCTGTTCACTTGGTGACCTCCCCGTGGTGGCTTTTAAGATGGTCTGGGGTCTTCCATTCTTGGGTTGGGTCCATCCAAAAAATCCTGGCGGAGCTTTGGGTTCGGGTGAGGAAGCCTCCTGGGATCGGTTTTAGTGCCACTTAGATGGGGACTTCTCTCCTAGGATCTATTAGTCACCAGGGACCACGCGTCACAGCAAAGCCAAGAACAAGGGCTGGAGGGGGTGACACCAGTCAGTGACACTGAGCCCTGGGTGACTCAGAGGAGTGAAGCGGGGCTGTGGGGGAGGCTGCCCAAGGCCTGAAACATTCAAAGCCAAGGGCCAGCCCCCGGAGCTGGTGCGCACCCTCTTGAGACGGGAGGAGCAGGGAAGAGGAGCAGGAGAAAGCACAGCCCCCGGCCCAGCACACAGGGTCCCCCGGGTGCTCCCCGAGGTTGGGCCACAGGAATATGTGGATTCAGTTTTGGAAGATTCTCAAAGCTCTTTAGTGGGTGTGAGTGGAAGAGCCTGTCATGGGTCCTGGAGCCACTGGGCCACCCCCTGGCTGGCTCAGAGGGTCGTGCTCATTGTCACCATCACACTCTGGTTCAATGCGCATGGCTGCCTCCCTGTGCACATCACCTGTGCTGCAGGAGGGCAGGGGCAGAAGCTGCCCAGCTACCCCCACGTCCATCAGCTTTGCCCCAGGGCCAGTCTGCGGTGGGGAGAAGGGTGCTCCCTCCCCAGGGAAGATGGCCACCCTCTTAAGGGCCACCCGTCCTCCTGCTCTGTCATCTCTGTGTTGTCTGGAGCAAAGGCCTATCTGCTATTCATTTTTCTGTCCCCCACGTAAGCACTTGGCCTTAGCCTTCACCACAGGCCACCACTGGTCTCTGGGTTTGAGGAACAAGGAGTAAATCACAAGCCTCAAGGGCTTTGGTGACAAGTTGCTTCTGGGTCTTGTCTTGCCAGTCAGGAAGCCCCAGGCTGTGGGGAGGGCAGAGGCCCGTCCTTCAGCTCTCTCCTGCCCCTTGTCCCCAGGATCTGCTCTGCTCTGTGAGTGCCCCAGGTCTGGGCTGGCCACCCGGGGAGCTGGCCACAGGTTTGGTGCTGAATCTGAGCCTTTAGCTCTGTGGTGGGTGCTGTGAGGGGCCGGGGCCTTAAAGTTGAGGTGATTGTCCCCCTTCCAATGGAGGGCCAGTCAGAGGTGAAGTCTGGTGCCTCCCAAGTCCCCAGCGAGGACACTTGGATTCGCCAAGACCGTTTGGAACAGGAAATCGCAGCTGCAGGCCCCGTGGTAGGTGAGGACAGGGAAGGAGGGAGCTGTCCAGGTCAGAGCAGCTCACCCTCCCATCCCTGAGACACGAGGCCCTGCAGCCACTCCTCACCGCAGCTCACTAATGCCAGCCGGCACCTGCGTGCAGATGGCACCCAGCAGTGGGGGCGCTGCCAGCAGGAGGTGGGGCAGTCCTGGACCTCAGGTCCCTCTCCTGTCTCACAGTCAGCTCTGGTCCCACCAGGGGAATGGCAGGAGCCGTGTATCTGAATTTGTCCACCAGACTTCAGAGTGCTCTTGGCAGAGGGGTTTGGTCACGGGAGAGGGAGCATCCTCTGCAAATGCCGCTTAAAGAAAAAAGAGGTGGAAAAGCTCCGGGGGTTTCTGGGAGCTGCCACCGGTTCCTGCTCAGAGGCCCAGCCAGGGCTGGCTGGCTCTGCGGCTCCGCACTGTGGCCTTGCGCAGCGGGGACTGCAAGCCGGGGCCAGGGACTCCCTGTGTTGCATTTGCTAAGCAGGTTCCTTCCCAGGCCACGTGCTCAGCACACTGCGGCCCCCTGTCTCCCTGCAAAGGGTCCGTATTTTCACCCGTTTGTTCACAGGAGTGTGGGGGGGCTGCCCTGCACAAGCCCCGGGGGCGTCCTCCCTTGTATTCTGTGTGTGGCTTTACAATGAAGTGGGCCATGGTAAGAGCGACCCCCGGAGGTGGTGGAGAGGTGGAGCCAGGCCCTGGGGAAGCCAGAGGTCAGGACTCCCCCAGTCTTGGGCCAGGGAGCTGTAGCGATGCTGGTGACGGGCAGCAGAGGGCGATGTTGGTGTGTAGCCAGACCAAGAGAGAAGTGGTGCCGGGAGGAGGTACTCTGTGGTTGTTGCATTTTTCTTTGGGGCTGTTGCACTCTGTCTTGCTCAGTATCAGCAACTGATTTTTCTTGTTTGTTGCTTTTGCTTCACGGGTCCTTGGCTTCCTTTCTCTGAAGGAAATACAATTCTGAGACCCAAGAGGAGCGGGGTCTAATGCATTGATGGGGCTGTCATTTGCTCTGAGCAGGGGGAGCCTTTAGCCATCAGGAGAGCCCACCCCTCATGGCACGTCGGGCCCCGTGCAGTTCGCATCGCCAGCTGAGAGCCGACAACTCCTCGCACTGCTTTCAATAAGCAGGTCCTTTCCAGACCACGTGTCCAGCATGTCCCAGGTCCCATGTCTCCCTGCAAAGGGACGAGGGCCTGGAGAGTGAGGGGTTGGGAGAGGACTCCTGGGTCTCCTCCTCCTCCTCACCAACGAGGTTCTCTGAGGAGCCTGGCAGCTCCCAACTCCAAAGCACAGTGCAGACAGGACAGGTTCTCTGCCCAGTGGCTAATGGGGTGCCCTTGGGCAAGTTCCTTATCATCTCTGGCTTTTAGCGTCCTCTGCTGGAAACACAGGAGTTCATAAGTGCCAGCTTTAAAAGAGGCCTGCACACAGGAGAACTCTGCAAAAGGAGTGGCGGGCAGGCTCGGTGAACCCCAGTGAGGCTCTTGTGTCAGTGAACAAACAGCCAGGCCTTCCCTTGTCTGTCAAGAGCGGCTCACAGGAGCCCAGAGTTGGGATGGAGAGGGGGGTGACCGTGGCCAACCCAGTGGAGGCGCTGCATGGATATCTCTGGGTATCTGACCCTCACGTGAGTCTCTTGACCTGCTCCTCGGAGGCCAGGCTTTCCGAGGTCCCTCCCAGCTGGGCCTGCTCCAGCCTTTCCTGGTCCCTGTTCCCCCAACTCTCCACCACCCAGCTCTGAGGGCTTCCTGTGGAGATGACTTACCTGCTTCGAGGTCCTCAGAGCCGGGGGGCGGGTAGCCAGGCAGCGTGGGGGGCTAAACCACAGGACAAACAAGATGGGTTGATTTATGTGAACATTTGGGAGAGAAACCATTGATTATTAGGATACAAACCGCGTCACTATGGAGGTGAAGAGAGGGCGGACTCATACAGGTTTTGCAGTACCGGGCAAGCCTCCGAGGACATCCTAGGCCAGTGGGGAGCTTCAAGCCCTCGGCCACCAGGAGTCACACTCACAGGAGCCCATCCCGGGGCCGTGGGGGAAGTGCCAGGGCTCTGGGATGCTGTCACCTGGAGGCGTCTGTCTGAAGCATCTTGTCCTCAGGAGTGTCTCCCTGCCCCTGAGGCCCTTTCCCCGCTGGGTGGGCAGGGATGGGTCCTGCTGGGTCCCTGGTGGAATGGAGGGCCTGTGTCACCAGAGCTGTACAGGACTGCTGGGAGGGTGGGGCGGTCGTTCCCGGGGGGCTTGCAGGCCTCTCGTGGCCAGTCAGTCTCGGGCAGCCTCAGTCAGCAGCAGGTAGGCCACCCCCTGGGTGTCGCCGGGTCTCAGCTCCGCTCACCACTCAGCCATCACAGTGGGGTTTGCTGGCTGCAAAGGGGACTTCCCTGGGGCCCTTGACCGCTTCCTTGGGTGACCAGGACCTCCATTCTGGGCAGAGGTCCCAGGACATGGGGTCACCTGGGGAAGTCAGGCTTAATCGACTCTCTTGGCAGTAGGTGGAAAGTTTGAGTCCAGGCTTGGTGTCAACTTGGACCTCACATTCCCATCTCAAAATTTTAATTTTTTTGAGTTACTATGAGAATCTAGTAACCTGAAGTAAGTGCTCAGGGATCATCATTGTTGTCCTCAAGGTCGTGAAGGTGCATGGATATAGGAGAGAGTAGGAGAGGAGTCTTGGGGTCGCAGGCTGGGGGTGGTGTGGCTGCAGAAGGCCTGGGGCAGACAGGTCTGGGGCTGGAGGTCAGGCTGTGTCCAGCGGCAGTGGCAGGAGCACATGGCCACATCCTAGTGTGGGTGTGGGGCAGGAGTTGTCAGCAGTTCCCCTCACAGGATGTCCCTGTGCGA